CCTCTATCTTATATTCTTAAGTACTTTACAGCTTATCTCTTTTCTCATATTTATTGTGGAACAAAATGATAGTATAATTGCAAGTTCTTTGGTGGTAATTTATTGAATAATTCAGTCCTTTCCATGACAGGTTCATCTTGTTCTCTTTGTACTTTCAGTACCTTCTGAAAGAAGCAGGTCAGTAATCCACTGATGAACAGTGTTACACCAACTATCTGGTTCTTGCTATTTAACACCTCAGATCAAAATCAAGTGTCACTTTAGAGGTTTGATTTTTCCATGTTTTCCACCAATACTTAAGAATATTTAGTCTGGTCAGTTTTTATTTAAGAGCGGACTGTCCCATCAGCTTTTAGGAGTTTTTGAGTTTGGCATGGATACTGATCAGAGAGTACAGTCTGGAGGTCAGAGAGAAACTTGTCTTGATGGCTCACATCTGATCCAGTGCTTGACACCAGAGTCAGTAAACATTCTGTTCTCGGGAACTGTAATCCATCCCTGTGACAGTGAACAAAATCAATACAATCACTCATGCTTTAGGCTGCACTTCTGCAGATTGTCTATTTTTTTCTTTTTTATTTATTTTTAGTTGGGATTTGGGTGCTAACTTCTAGTTCTCCCTGAACTGAATGGCTTGCTGGGCTACTTAAGTAGTTGGGCTAGTTAAGAGTGAACCACATTTCTGCAGATCTGCGCTCATATTTAGGCCAGAATAGATAAGAACAGCAGAGTTGTTTTCTTAAGGGACATTAGTGAACCAGATAGGCTTTTGCAACAATGATAGTTTCACCATCAAGAGTTATTAAATGAAGTCAAATCCTGCCACTTGCCATAGTGGGACTGGAACCTGATGCAATAGCCTGGCCCACTGGATGACTATGCTAACTGGGCTGTTCCTTATTTGACCAGTTATTTGACCAGTAGTTGTCACATTGAGGTAATCACTGGATTGTGGTCCTACATTCTCACCACATACTGTTCCCATTGAGGTCTGAAATAACTCCATAAGGACCAGTATCCCCTTTACTTACCCGTGCTTAGCACTTGACACTGGTCCAGCTCGCACAGAGCCAGCTCCTCGAGTGAGCAGAACCCCTGAAACTCCCTGATTGGACCAGATTAACAGCCCCAGTCAGGGAACTCATATTCTGTGAACTCCACCTGACGGACCTTGTTCCAATCACTACAAGGTGTCAGTATTTGGGCTGGTGTAGAGCAGCAGGAAACAACCTTGCCAGAGCTTCCTCTAAGGCCTCAGTATTCTCATCCTCAGAGGTCAAGGAGGTAGCTTCTGGGTGTTTCAGTTTAGAGATCATGGCGACGTTGACAGTACCTGCTACAGACAAGAGAGAGAGGCATCTGAGCCAGTGGTTAGAAGTGGTGTACAATGGATGAGACTGACAGTGGGGTTATTATAAGAGCTGTAGTGGAATGAAGAATGGGGCTTCCTCTGTTGGTGCGACATGGGGAAATCCCTTGTCATCCCCACAAGAGTGATCATAGTCTTCTCCTGCAGGGGAAAAAGCTCATTGTATGTGAGGAGCCTACTGTCAGGCAGCCTTCCACTGGCTTGCTCAGTTTTGTTTTAGATTAAATTCTCCTGCACTGAGAGAAAGGGAGGAATTGAGTGAGGTGAAAGTGAGTCACATGGCTGTTACTGCTGGTCCAGATGGGTGAAAGGTGGTGAGGCGAACTAATGTAGCATGGCAGGAAGAAGTGATGGAAGATGTTTCAGGCAACAGCGAGATTGGCACACTATGAGCCTTGGTGGGAGGTGGGAGCAAGGACAGAAATAGAGTGAGTGTGAGTTAACAGAGAGAAGATGGCGACACTTGGCCTGGCACAGTGTAGAAAGTAAATGACTTTCTTGCAGCACTAGTGGCTCCTCCTCCAGGTCATTGAGATGACAGTAGCCTGAGTAGTTACCTTGGACGAGGTTACAAGGGTCTGGGATCATGACCTCCGCTGCCAGTGCTCAGGGCAGAGGAAAGCTCTCCTCTGCACCACCCCATCCATCAGCATCCCCAGGTCCCTATCAGAGAATCATGGTGCCATCTTCCCTTCTCTGACATTTTCATGTTCTCTCTGTGTCTAAGCAGGGCAGCTTCAGAATACCAGTGTTCATCCAGGCATACTGTCACCTTTTAAAATAGGCACGGGCACAAAAGATGCTGGTCATTTAGCATATATCTGCAGAGTGGTGAGTTGTTCTAGGAATGGTGCGTGGTAAAGTGGGGCTGGAATTGGACATGAGGATACCATGGGTCAGAGCAAGTGGATACCAAGGTAGGTTTGGTTAGATCTAACATGAAAACTCCCCAGCCTCATGGCAGAAATCCCTCTAACAACACAGACTTAGCCAAAAAAGTAAGATTCAGCCCTATATATTTTAAACAAACCATCTCTGACCTTTTGAAACTCCAGCAGTTACAGACCTAACCTATTCAACCTCTCCGCATGGAGAGCTATCCCATTCCCAATAGTCTGGGGAAACTTTTCGGAATTATTTCCAACACATTTGTTGGAAACCATAAGTAAACTGACCAATCCTGCATCGTACTCCAGATGCAGTCTCACTTATGCCCTATGTACCTGAAGCAAGAACTCCCTTCTTTGTATTCAATTCTCTCTCACCCCCTTAGATGAACCGTCATGTCACTCCTTTGGAGGTTTAGTTCGTCCTACATTTCACAACTCAACCTGCAATATAGAATCACCTCCCTCCTGTGAAAGTGATGACTAACTGACACTCTAACTTTCCAGATGGGAGTGGATTGGCTGCTTTTAAATGAGGTCCAGGAGATTAAATACCACACAGCACAGAATGTAGACCAGCAGGCGGGCTCCACACTTGCCCTGTTCCCAATTCCTTCACCAAAACCCACTTGGAATTAAAATTTGTAGCAGTTCGAATAAGAGATCATAGATTGATAGCTCTGACGGTTTCTCATGTAACGTGCTCATCGAATTGGGGGCCAAGCTTTGAAAGGTCATTATTGATTTGCTTGGAAGCTTGTTGGATAGTCCTCAAGGGTTGGAGAGAAACCAAGTGATGCCAACATCTAAAAATGCAGTAAATACGAGTGGTATCTCCCATTGACATTATCTTTATTAATGAACTGGATGGAGCTGTGATGGGAACCATTTGCAGGTTTGGAGATGACACAAAGGCTTTGGACCCCCACCACACCCTGGCTGCAGTGCGAAAGACTAATGGCCCTAACCAAGGTATTCCACTACAGCCAGAACACTGGCATCCATCTGTCAAAGCGGCAAATTAAGTCACATTCCACGCCCCATCATAAGGTCGGAAGTGGGGATGTTCGTTGATCACCCAGTGTTCAGTACCACACATAATTTTTCAAAAAAATGAAGCAGTTAGTTTTGTGCAAGAACATAAAACAGGGGAGCAGAAGTAGGCAATTCAACCCAATGAGACTGCTCCACCATTCAAAGCAATCATGCTTGATCTGATAATCCTCAACCCCACTTTCCGGACTTTCTCCCCATAACTCTTGATTCCCTTCCGGATTAAAAATCTGCTTATATCAGCCATGAATACTTATTGCCCCAGCCTCAAAAACCCTTCTAAGAATCCTACATATTCAGTACCCTTTGAGAGAAGAAATTCCTCCACATCTCTGTCTTAAATGAACAACCCCTTATTCTGAGATTATGCCCTTGTCCTAGACTCTCTCACAAGGGAAAACAATCTTTCCATATCTACCCTGTCAGGTCCCCTAAGAATCTTATGTTTCAATAAAGTTGCCTCTCATTACTCTACATTCCAACGAGTACAGGCCCAACATGTTCTCCTCATATCTTATATCAGTCTAATAGACATTCTCTGGCCTGCCTCTAATGCCAGTTTATCTTTCTTTAGATAAGTGGCCCAAAACTGCTGTCAGTATCCCAGTTGTGGTCTGACTAGTGCCTTGTATAGCATTAGCAAAACCTCCCTACTTTTATAATCCATTCCCTTTGAAATAAAAACCAATATTCCATTTGTCTTCCCTGATGCACGTTGAATTTAGATGCTAGTTTTTTGTGATTCATGGACTCAGACTCCCAATTCCCTCTGTTCTGCAGCTTTCTGCAGTCTTTCTCCATTGCTCGGAGTTTGCTAGGCCAGTTAAGAGTCAACTATATTGTTGTGGATCTGAAATCACATGTAAGCAGATGGTAAGGATGTAGGTAAGGGTGAGAGATTTCTCTCCCTACCGGACAATGCGGAGTCACCTGGGCCTTTTGTAATAACTGATGATAATTTCATGCTTAGCAATACTGAAGTTTTCACTTCCCTGTTTTGTTAATTGAATCTTTGATGGGATTTGTGCCTATGCATTAGCCAGGGCCTCTGGGTTGCCAGTCCAATGCCATTACAACACATGACTGACTAACCAGACTTGCTGCAAACAAAATCTTCAAATGGGAGCATGCTCATCAGTTTGACTGTTTATACAAAAGGCTGGGAGTTGGAGCTGTCTCCATCAATTATTTTGGTCTTTTAGAGCTTTCTTGAGCGTTTCCAGGAGTCAGTGAGGATTCCTTTCCTAAATTATCTTCTCTTGCTTCTTCTGTCTTTTGGGCCTCTCCCCAGGAGTTTGTGTGCCTCCTATGTTGGGGAGTGGCTACACTCTGAAACTAGAGGACATGGCTGATGGGCTAACTGATCAGTCCCTGTCTTTTATATACCTGTGCCCTCATAAATTTATTTGTTGGCCATGAAGTGTTTTGAAACATGAGCACAGAGGCAGTGATATGGGGAAGAGGAAGACTTGAACTGACCGTTGCATGCTCCTTGCTAGATGCTGTCTCAGAATGGTTTGCATCCTTGCTGATATTTGTCAGACTGATTGGATTTTATTTCTTCAGATCGCAATATAAATGGAAGTTCTTTTTAGTTTTTGTGCCCAGATATTGAGGTGATATAATGATGCCCCTGCCCATTGCCATACCCAGTTTTGTTCCATTCCTAAAAAAGGTGTTTATTATTTCAGGTTGAACTCATAGACTTCAAAGGGGAGGATTTAACGGAATGCGAAGATGGAGGCATCATTCGTAGGATTAAGAAGAAAGGGCAGGGGTATTCCACCCCTAACGAAGGGGCTACCGTTGAAGGTATGAACTCAGTTACCAGGTGTATTGTAAGGAAGTCATAAAATTTCAAGTTAGGGGATAGAGTATTGACATATGAAAGCCAGAATCACTATTTTAGATTTGCTTGCAAAGACCAATTTTTATGCATTGTTCCCATCGACTAAATTCTAAAGGATAAATATCTTTTGCAGAGAAAGATAAAAACAACTAAATACTGCAAATGCTGGAGATCTGAAATACTGCTCCACCTGTTGCTGATGTTTAAGTGTCTTTGCACAGTTGCACTAACATCCTATTTATCCACCCTGTGCTTGTGTTATTTTCCACATTGCTGGAGTATTTAACATTCATTTGAGGAGAGTTCAGGCTTACTGCAGTGTTTTAATCATCCTTGGCTCAATTGGTAATCAGATACCAGATGATCAATTATTAATGGTTCAACAATTATTAGGAATTAAGAAATTACAGTTCCACAAATACAGAATGCACCATTCAATAACAGAATGCTGATTTCTTAACAACCTATATAAGCAATTTTTCTCAAGGAAATTGAGGAGAAAAACTAATATGAAATGGATATTGTTAATTATCATTTTATGGAAATTAAGAATAGGATATAATGATTCTGTGGAAAGGATATTAATGAGTATTAAGTATCGTGTGTTATGATCCACTGGAGGCATATAAATTAATGAGGATTAAGCGTAAAATGTAAACTAGGGGATCTTGACATCAGCTGATATGGTGACCTTTCACAGCCTTACAAGGTAACATCTTCTCTCCACTAATTTATCTGCTTGCAGATTTACTCTGAAAACTGGAAAATTCTACCCTGTTTCTCAGTTTATCTGCAGCTGAAATCCCCATTCATTCCCTTGTGAGTTCCAGGCTTGGTATTCCAAGGACTCCAGGCAGTCTCTCACATATCTATCATTTTCTAGCCACCAGCAGTTGTGGAAAACTTAATTGCTTCCCAGAAGTAGAGGATAACTTATCAATGCTGATGAGAGGCACGGTGGCTCAGTGGTTAGCACTGCTGCCTCACAGCGCCAGGGACCTGGATTCCATCCCAGCCTCGGATGATTGTGTGTGTGGATTTTGCACATTCTCCCCATGTCTGTGTGGTTTTCCTCCCACAGTCCGAAGATGTGCACTGAATAAGAACCGAAAGAACTGAGGATGCTGTAAATCAGAAACAAAAACAGAAATTGCTGGCAAAGCTCAGAACTTCTGAGGAAGGGTCACCAGACCCGAAATTCTGATTTCTCTTCACAGATGCCGCCAGAATTGCTGAGCTTTTCCAGCAATTTCAGTTTTTTTTTGCCAAAGATGTATACATTATGTGGATTGGCCTTTGCTGAATTGCCCTGTAGAGTCCAAGGATGCAAAAGCTGGGTGGGTTAGCCATGATAAATGAGAGTTTAAGGTGTGGGGTGAGTGGTGTTGGGTCTGGGTGGGTAGTCTTCGGAGGGCTGCAGATGTGATGGGCTGAATGGCCTCTTATTGCACTGTTGGGATTGTATCAGAGCTGGGTGGTAGAATGTCTGGCTTTAGAGCCTTCTAATTAAAATGGAAGTGTCATACAACAGCAAATAATGGATGGATTGAGCATTTTGCCCTTTTCTTTTATCTGAACTAGAGAATTTTAATTTATCAAATTTTAACATTAATTGAATAAGAATCTTTAAAAGCTCTGGTAATTCATTAAAAAGCTTTTCATAGTACATTAGTAGTAAGGTTCATTAACAGGATTAAAGCTTATCAGTGGTATTGGGTTGATTAAATATAAATTAACTGGGAAAAATAAATAAATTAACACAATAAAGATGGCAGGGCAGATGATGTATTGCAGCTGCTGTATGTGGGAGGTAGTGGACACCAGTGCAATCGGCAGCAAACATGTCTGCTGTAAATGTCTGCAGCTCAAGGAACATCAGCTCAGAGTCATTGGGCTGCAGACCCAGCTATAGACAACATGATGCATCAGGGAGGGAGAATGGTGTCTAGATGCTTTGTTCCAGAAGGCAGTCACACCCCTCAGAATGTGATCAGTTGTCAAAGACAGGAAGCTGTGGCTATGAATGAGGCAGATAATGGGACCAAGAGTTGAAAGTGATGAAGCCTCAAACCTTCCAATTCTTCAATAGGTTCAAAGTTCTTGAGCTTGTTTGGAGGTTGCAAGGTAGATGAACGAGCTGACTACCATACTGCAGTGTGGAAGCCATTCAATTGAGGAGACTAATTAGGAATGTAGGGTAGTCAGGAACAATATAGTCAGTAGGATAGACACAATGCTCAATAGCCAAGAGCCAGAGCCCAGCAGGGCTGTGTAGCCTGCATGATGCCAGGGTTTAGGACATCTGTTCTAACTTGCAACAGGAGGATAGGATTCAGTTGTTGTTTACTATATAGGTACCAGTGACATAGTTAAGACTAGGAAAATTGTCCTCTTAAAGAGTTATGAGCAGCTAAAAACTAACTTATAAACCAGAACCACAAAAGTAGTAATCTTTGACTATTACTTGAGCTATAAGCAAAGTTGTGTAAATAAGATTAGAGAGACCAATGCATGCCTCAAAGACTGTTGTAGGAGAAATGGGTTTCAATTAATGGGGCACTAGCAGAAATATTGGGGACATTAGGAATGGAACCATTGGGCCCATCTTCACTGGAGCTATACTGGGACTAATGTTCTGGTAAAGCATATAACTAGGTAGTAAAGGAGGGTTTTAAATTAATCAGGGGAAGGGAAGGGATGATGTGAGGGGAGAGATATTAAAACTTCATAAGGTAGTCAAGCAGGGTAACAATCTGGGTAATGATAACTAGAATGGGGCAGAAAGATTCAGAACATCTCTAAATGTAACAGTGCATTAGCACATAAGGCCAGAGATAACAAAAATGGCAAAAATACTGTTAAATATTCTATATCTAAATGTGCACGGCATCCCTAACAAAATGAAAAAATTGTGAGCACAAATAGAAATAACTACATATGACCTTATAGCCGTTAAGGAGACATGGTTACGAGGTGAGCAAGATTGGAACTTGAACACTAAAGGGCATATGATATTTCAGAATTACAGAATGCTAGGAAAAGATGGTAAGTTGGGTTTGTTAACTAAGAATGACACTAGTGCTGTAGTGAGAGATAACCTTAGCTCAATAGAGCAACATGTAGTATCATTTTGGGAAGAAATAAGAAATAGAAAAATTATGAGGTCACTTACAGATTAGTTTGTAGGCCATAAAACAATAATTATAACGCAGGAAGAAATTGATAGGATATGTAACAAAGGTACTATAATAATCATGGGTGAATCAGATTAGCAATCGTAACCTCAAAGATTTGTTCACAAAGTACATTCAGAACAGTTGCTTAGAGTAGCATGTTCTTATATCAACCAAAGAGCAGGCTATTCTATATCCCATAATGTGTGATGAGACAGGATTAATCAACAGCGTCATTGTAAAGGAACCTCTAGGTGACAGCAATCACAATGTGATAGAATTTCACATTCAGTTTCAAGGTGAGAAGTGTGGATGTAAGGATTTGTCTTAAACCCGAATAAAAGGTATTTGTAAAGGTATCAAGGCTGAGATGGTTAAAGTGAACTGGGAAAAGAGTCAAAAGGTAATTCATAAGAGATGCAGTGGCAGATACTTAAGGAGATATTTAATAACCTATTTAATAATAACAGTAATAATTAATTTTATTAAATTTGTTAAGCAATTATTAAATAAAGAGTTAACCTAGAGGGAAAGGAGGACTGTTTGAAAAGGAAGCATCATGAAAAGGAGGGAATATGGATGAAAAGGATGATATCAAAGTGAAAGTAACATTTTAATTCTGCGAAGACTATTGATAGGGTTAGAAAATTGGATGGATTTTAAAAACTGCAATGACTGGCTAAAACAGTAAGGGAGATGAAATTAGGGTATGAAACAAAGCTAGATGGAACTATAAAAACAGTAAAGCTTGTACAAGTATTTAAAAAGGAAAAGAGTAACTAAGTGGAGAATAAGTCTGGAAGAATTAAACATGGAAAAAAGAAGGAAATGTCAGCATGTAACTTCTGAGTGTCTCCATTGTAGACGATTTTGAAACATTCTGAAGATACTTAAAACTCAGGAGGCAAAAATGAGGGAGATGGTCAAAATAATGACCATCACCAGTGAAATGATACTGGGAAAGTATTATTCATAATATACCTGATAGGTTACATCTTAGAGAGTGGCTAGATAAATAGCTGCCATTATAATTCACCAAAATTGCTAGAATTTTGGAATGGCCCTAGCAAATTGGAAAGTTACAAAAGTAACATTTATTCAGGAATGGAGGGAGACAGAAAATAAGAACTACATGCCAGGAGGCCTAACATCTGGCTTAAGAAAATTGCAAGTATTATTAATAAGGAGTGTATAACAGGATTTTTAGAAAATGGTGGGATCTGGAAGAGTTAACATGGCTTTGTGAATGTGGATCGTGTCTGAATAATTTATGAGTGTTCTTTGACGATGTAACAAACAAGGAAGATTAAGAGGACCTGTAGATATGATGTATTTGGATTTTAAAATGTCTTTTGTTAAGGAGGCATCATCAAACGCTAAGACATAGATTAAGGGCTCATGGTGTGCGGGTAATATATTAACGTGGATAAAGCAAAACAAAGGACTGTGGAAGCTGTAAATCTGAAACAGAGACAGAAAGGACTGGAGAAACTAAACAGGTCTGGCAGCATCTGTGGAGAGAAAACTGAGTTAATGTTTTGAGTCTAGTGAGGCCCAGATAAAGGATTGGTTCACCAATGGGAAGCAGAGAGTAGGGATAAATGAGTCATTTGCATTAGCAAGCTGTAACCAGTGGAGTGCCAAAGTGATCAGTGCAGGGACAACTATTTACAATCTATTTCAATGACTTGGATGAGGTGACCAAATGAATGGTAGTTAAGCTTGCTGGTGACACTGAGATAGATAAGAAAGTAAGTTGTCAAGAGGAGATAGAGAGACTGCAAAGAGAC